CCATTGTGCCTACAGAGGTGGCCAGTGCAGAAATCCTGAAAATGCCTTTTTTCAAAAAGAAACACTCAGAACATACAATTAACCACTTCCTGACAATCCTCAAAGCAGCTCTTTTGGTGACAGTGAAGCAAATCTACTAAAAGAGCAGGAAAAATAAATATCCTCAACATGCAAAACTTTTATATATATATATTTATATATATATATACATATATATATATATACATATATATAAAATTATAATAAAATGAATACTGTAAAAGTACTCTCATTACTATGAGCTCTTATCTTTTAAGTTACATTCAACATTTCCAAAGATTTTTAAATCAGAAAGGTGTTTCAAAATAAGTAACAAAGAAAAAAATAATAATGACACAGTAATTCGTAAGAGAGTATGAAAATGTGATTTAAAAAATAAAATCTTTCAATCATGTCCTACTGTGCAAGAAAATTCCATGGAAACTTTACTTGCTGGACATGGCAGGAATTATCCTGCCTGGCCCCCAGAGCCACACAGAACTCAAACCAGGGCCAGGCTGGCATTTATAAACTGATATAAATCAAATACATTTCCTCCTATCCCTCGGGCAGGCATTGAAGTCTCACCTGACTTTCCCCCCCGCAAAATTGCTCAATTCCTTGGAATCCTGGGGAGCACAAAACTTTGTTCTCTCTGCCAGAGAGGAAAAGGAAAAGCAGCCCCTGACACTGAGGCTCTTTGCCATTTTTAACAGTCAGGTCACACCAAGACAGGTGAGAATTGCTTAAATCTCAGGGTAACACTCATTAATTAGAAAATTAACTGACATTACGTAATAACTTCATGTTAATCTGCCCGAGAGATGATTGAACCAAACACTGAATACAGAATTCAGCAGGAATATGTTCCATTTTTTCAGTTTTTTTTCTTTTAAATCCTAATTTTATTCCATTAAGATTCCATTAATTTTTTTTTGCTCTTGTGTTTCCACATTGTATTTTAACCTATTGCTCAGGAGTCTGATGGGATGTTTAGGCAATAAAACACATGGAGAGGTTTGCACAGCCATGCTGGGCAGCCTCAGAGGGCCACAGTTCCCATCACCTTTAAAACAGAGATAAAAATCAGTATTTTTCTAATGCACTTCAAGATCTACTGATGAGAACCCCATGCAAGAGCTCCTGTCAGCTGTTACCCTCTCACTGAGTGTGGTTATGTTGGAATATTACCCTTCCTGACCTCTGAAAATAACATAAAATTGAAATGAAGCAGTAATTGTATGATTATAAATGTCACTAACATCAGACAGTAGGGAAAGACTAATTAAAGGAAGTTTGCTCTTCAAAGGAGGAAGAGTTCAGATTCATTCACAGATATTTATATATTTAATTTAGTTGTGCACAGAGAAAATGAATGTACAGGTAGCTCTAGGGAAGAGCTCAGATTCATTCACAGATATTTATATATTTATTTGTGCAAAGAGAAGATGAATGTGCAGGTTTTTGTAGGTACAGATCTGCTCTGCTTCTGCACAAGCCCTCTGAAGGAGCAAGATCACATTCACAAGTGCCAGAAAAAGGAACAGGCTCTCCCTCCCCTTGAAATGCAGGGACAGAAAGGATGGATGGATGGATGGATGGATGGATGGATGGATGGATGGATGGACGGATGGATGGAATCCACGGATGAGCGATGGAGGGATGGATGGAGGGATGGATGGATGGAATCCATGGATGAGGGATGGAGGGATGGATGGAAGGATGGATGGTGCTGCCTCTGACATCCCACCTGCAAACTGGACTTTCCTGACATCTCTTATTGTTTGGGATGAGCTGCTGGGTAATTTGTGCTGGGAATTGCAGTGAAGGGAGCCCCATGCTTCACTGTTTGCCCCCAGTGGAGGTGGCAGAAGTGACAAAAGCTGTTTGCCAAAGGTTTCCTCACTACTGGAAAAGTCTCAGCGCCTTCCCAGTGCCCTGAAATTACAGGCCAGGAGGGGAAAGCAGGTGCAGCTACACAAGATAAAACCATTCCTTCAGCTTTCCATCCCCAGCTCCAGCTGGCATTTCAGTGCTGAGCAGCACAGAAATAACAGCACAGCCCAAAGCATCTCCTTAATAACTCCAATAAATCACAGGGATGACAAAACAAATCCAGGAAGGATTTCACGCGGGAACATCTTTAGGAGAGGACAACACCTGGAGAAGAGCAAATCCTTGTGGGCTCCTGGGCTCAGCAGACACATTCCCAGAGCATTCCCAGAGCACTGGGACCTCCTGGCTCTTGTCTGCAGCTCCTGCCAAGGTCTGACCACAGCAGGTGCTCCGTGTTCATCAGAGCAAACAGAAACCCCTTCCATGTGTGCAGCCTCAGCTCTGGCTGTGAGGGAAGTTAAACTGAGCAATCCAGGGATTCAGCCCCTTTTACCCCGGAATGGGATGGGAGAGGCTGAAGGCTCTAGGAAGGTTTGTTTTGGGGGGGTTACAATTCTTTTATCTCCACAAGCTCACTGAACTGTGTGGTTGTGCCTGGCAGCTTGCCTTCCACAACAGGAATTGAAACTATTATCCTGAGAAATAGAGAAAATTACAGTATTTCAAACTCTGCTTATTTCTCTGAAAAAAAAAAAAAAAAAAACAGGGGACAAAAACCTTGGGAGGCTTTTCTTTTTTAATAGCTGAATGACTAAGAAAGTTCCCTCTCTAGTAAGTCTGTCTTTGCTTTTCAGTCTCTAACAGACATTTAAATGCCTGACAAATAGATTATAGACTACTTGTTTTAAGAGTTTGGGGGGGGGTGGGAAATGAAGCTCAAATCTGTATTGCTTTGAAAGACAAGCACAATATTTGGTCTGCACAGCTTCTGGCACCTATTAAAACCTTCATTAAAGCACCAGTGACAAACTGCTGCTGTCAGGGAGAAGTGATGCTGAGCACTCTGCAATATTTGATGGCACAGTTGCCCACACAGTCATTATGACCATGTTTTCATTCTGCTCTACACTGAAAAAATATAGGCACCCACTAGAACATTTTGATAGAAGTTGGGCTGGTTTTAGTTAAAGGAGCCCATCAAACATTTACATGGAGGTGAGAACTCATCACCTGAGTGGAAATCCATCTGGAAATCAACAATGGAAAAAGAGAGCAAACCTTTGAGTAGTTTCTGTCCACATTTGCATTACATAATATTTTGAATACATTATATCTGTGCAAGTGCCACTTTGTATAATACAATTATTTTTATCAACTTCCTAACACAACAGTTGTTGCAGGTTTTTCAATATACAATACAGAAAAATTAATCTAAAACAAGTTTGTGCAGTATTCTGCAGAGCAGCTACCCAGAGCTTAGGGCTCTAATCTATGGAGAGCTTCCTTCATTACCCACAGAAAACCAGCAAAGCCTTTTAATCTGAGTTATTCATTTCTTTGTGCTTCTCCTATTGAGCTTCAAGTCTGTTCCACACACATCATAGGCGAGGGAGAGTTCTGTGAGCAGACACCCAAAGCAACAGGGTGCAATTGTTATCTTTCTGTTCTCCATGTTTACTTGCTGAAAAAAGAGTGTGAGTCTCTCTCTGTTCCCTGATAACTTGCTAATAATCTCAATATTTTTTGAATATATTTACTGTCGTCATAAAGCAAATTTGCTCAGACACCTCCTTGCAATCATTAATTGCAAAAAATTAATACTAAGCTTATACTTCACTCTACAAAATTCCATTTCACAGTTAATACTTACTAATTTTTCTTTATTGGTTCTACTATTTCGTAAGCCCAAAACTCACTCGCTGGTGAGTGCTATTTTCCCCTTTTTTCTCTAATAGTTTGACCATTATACCTCATTTTCCCCCCTTGGTTAATGAACCTTCAGCAACAAGAGCAGTAACAAATGAAAATGCAGATTGTACATGCACTTGCAAGTTACTAGAATCACTTGCTATTCAAGAGAAAATTCAGAATAAATACCAGCTTGTACAAAACAGTGAATTTTTATACAATCAGTGGCAGTTGGCAATGCCATTTTAACAAGATTATGAAGTTCAGCCAACCCAGCCTGCCTGCCTTTCAGTGCAGTTATAACTAAAGAAAAGCTGGAGATAATGGGGTGCTGCCCCACGCCTAATAGCACTGGCTGGATTCCTGCTCATCTAAGCAGAACATCCTGTAAATGTATGGCTTCAAAATTCAATAATTAAACCCCCCACCACCTGGTTACAGAAATTAAAGTCTCATCACTGCTAAGGCGGAGCACTTTCACACCAGTGAAAAATGGTAAATTAGATTCACACCACACCAAACACAGTGACAAATGTATCAGCACTCCACTTGGCTCTAATAATTTGATTAAGTTGAGCTTATAAAACATGGCTCATGATATAGATAAAAAAAAAAAAAATTAAGCCACGCACTGTTACTGCTGGAACTTTCATTTCTGCATTCCAGACTACAACTGATACTTTACCTGAGAAATTCTAGTTTGTGAGTAAAATTGAGGGTTTGCTTTATGAAGAACAAATTTATAATTGTTGGGAAAAACCCTGTCTACATCAAGTACAGAGGAATGATTATTTAGTCCAAAACCCAGGGTCTGGTGGCCTGGGAGAATGCAAAATTCTGTCAGAGGTACCTGTTTACAGAGGAGCCAACTCCTCCTGCGCCACTTCCATGCTGGGATTCAGCATCTCCTCACACAACCCACAGCAGAGTCCTCCAGACAGGTTTGTCACATTCCCTGATCCCACATGTCACATAGCACAACGTACAGAGACAGCAGATTGATCTTCCCAACCAAGGGAATCTCTCCTTAAACAATTCAAAAATGTAAAACCATCACTATGTGAGAAAAATCTCCGGTAAAGCGAATAGAGCACGTCTGGTCCTTGCCTGGCATCACCAAGCCAAAATTCAAGATTTTACCAATCAAAATGAATTCCTCAAGAATGTTCCAGAATTTCTATGAAGTTACAACAGTAGATTTTTAATTTGATGGAGGAAAAGAAAAAGAAGCAACTTACAGTTGTCTTGTAAAAACAAGCAAGTGCCTCATGAACAGGGCTCTGAGTCACATAACCAGCTGGGTCTTCTCCTGTTGGCTAATCAATCTTGATTTCAAAACTGGAAAAAAGAAAGAAGATAATTAGACTTGACAAACCCCAGAGAATTAAGCAAATTAATAGAACAAACAAGGATTGATCTAAAGGATGCCCCACAGGAGAAACAGATCCAAGAGCAAACATCCAGTGTCATAAATAGTTAGGGACATCTTGCAGTAAAATCAAGTGATTAAAAAGTTCCAAGTCTGTGACCAAAGATGTGAATTAAAAGCTTGAAAACACAGTCCCAATGATATCTGGTTTACCCATTTATCAGAGCTGTAGCACTCTGGCCTCCCATATTTGTAAATAAATGAGATTTTTTAATGTTTTTGGAGGCGGAAAACTCCATGTGTGAGGGAAAGACCAGGAGAGAGGGCAGGAGCAGAGAGGAGACATTCCCCTGCTTTTCCTTGCATGACATAAGAACTTGGGAGGGAATAATTGAGAGGTCTTATGGTCATCACAGAGATGTCATGGTGAATAAGTGACATTCTGATAAGTGACATTCTGGCTGCTTTCATAAGAGATGCTCAAGAAGGTGCAGGGAATGACGGGCAAGGAGAGGCCCTCCTTGGACAGGATGAGGGAACACATCCTTACACTATAAGGACAGACAGAAATTAATCCATTTTTCATGTTTTGGTACTAAAAGGGATTGCTGTGCTCCAGCAGGATGCCATGTCTGACCCAAGCACAGAATTACATTGGCTTCCTCTGGTTTCGAACCTCAGCATCTGGCAGAGCTGGAGGGGACACTCCTGGGAGAGCAAACATCCACTTCTGCCTTGCGAGCTCCAGCTAATGACCAATTCATCACACCCCTCAGTAAATCATGTTTGGGTTCAGCTTGAAAAAACTGGATTGTTTAAGGCCCTTTGAACACCATGTGAAAACATCTTTCATTATAAATGAGGATTTCCCTGCAGACACCAGTAGGATCACATCTGCTTCATCTTGGATTAGCATAAAGGAGTGACTGTCCCCATGCTCCTGCCACGGTGTCAGCTCTGCCAGGTTTGGCACATCATGGGCTTAATTCAGCCTCCACCTTGTGCCCAAATGAACATTCCAACTATCCAAACACATTTCAGTTCCATATTGATGGCATTTGTTTGAGGCATAGCAACATCCTTTAAATATTCTCACTCTAATTTAGCTCAGTTCAGTTTGTGCAATTTACCTGGGACTTGCAGGACATGGACACCATTCCTTTATAAATCACATTTCAAATATATTGTGAAGGGTAATGCACAACAGAGTTCCAGGACCACAAAATATCCTCAGGCTTCCTCCCCCCTCATGGCTGTGGAAATCAGGGAGCTGATTTTGGAGGATGGAAAGATGGAGCAGCCCAAGGGAGAAGCACTCACAGGTGAGAGTGCTTCTGAGAGGCTGGACATGCCCCAGCCATGTCTGGGACCCCCAAATTCCCTGCCCTGCTCAGCCCAGGGCAGGGGGGATTCTGCAGAGCTGCCCCAGCCTGGGCCAGCACAGGAGGGACCCGGAGGCACCAGAGGAGGCTCCAGGATGAGCAGAGGATGGAGCAGCTCTGCTGGGAGCAAAGGCTGGCACAGCTGGCATTGTTCACCTGCACAGGAGAAGCTTTGGGGTGATGGAATTGTGGCCTTGCAGGGCCTGGAGGGGCTGCAGGGAAGATGGAGAGAGATGATTTACAAGTGACAGAACATGGGGAATGGCTTTACACTGCCAGGGCAGGATTAGATGGGACATTAGGGAAAAATCCTTCCCAGTGAGGGTGCTGAGGCCCTGGCACAGGTTGCCAGAGCAGCTGTGGCTGCCCCTGGATCCCTGGCAGTGCCCAAGGCTGAGCTGGACAGGGCTGGGAGCAGCCTGGGATGGTGGAAGGTGTCCCTGCCATGGTAGGGATGGAATGGGATGAGCTTTTAGGTCCCTTCCAAGCCAAGACAGCCTCTGATGTGACTCTGTGCTATTGAATGCCAAGGGATGCACAGCCTTGCACTGCCCCACACAGTGAAGGAGAAGCACACTGAACCTGCCTGCTTCAAACAGGACCCTGTGTAGGACCCAGTCTGAAATCCCAGTCTCAGCACCCTGTCTACCAAAAAACAATATGACTTTTGGAACAGGTTTCCAACCTAATATTTATTATCAGGCTGTACCACCAGGTGGCAAGATTGCAAAATAAAGGAATTTTTTAAATTGTTCCTAAAACCCATTCAGTCAGGGCTGCTCCCAGGACCCCTGGCTGGGCCATGGTGATTGTTTTGGGAGGACTTGGGCAACTATTTAACATGTACCCACATGGTCTGTAAAATAAACTATTTTAAGGTTTCTCTGTCACTCCTCATGCAGTCAACAGCCAAATGCAACAGGAGATTCCCAGTACATGAAAAAGGAAATTGTGGCCACCAGCTGCACTCCTGTGAAGAACTTGGGTTTCCAACTCTTTTCATCCTCTTTCCCTGATAACCAGTTTAACCTTTTCAAAAGAGCCTAAACATGACTGCAGGGAACCACATAATAAATGGGAATATGACTCAAAAATATTAATAAAATTACTTTTCAAAGGGAGAGTAAGGACTTTACACAGAGTGTACTTACATTCATTTGGGTAATTTTTTTGCCATATATTTTCATTTATCTGGTTATATCCCAATTATCTATAAACCAAGACACAGTTCTAAGTTCTACACTAAAGGAGTGCCATGGACACATGAGTTCAGTTTAAAGGGCTGAAATTTATATTATGTTATCTTAATTCAAAATTTAGGGAAAATATAAATTTCCAGTAACAACTTGGGAAACTCTCTCTCTAATTCCTTGCCCCTAGATCACAAAGGACACCATGTGAGCACTCAGTCCACATTATGTGTTTTATTTATATCTAAACACACACAGATAGGCATATGGCTAAATAACAGGATATAAAGTATTAGTAAAGCTAATACTGGTAACCACACCAAGCTGGTGAGAAACTCTACCTGACCCTGAGATATGCAACACAAAAGAAACAATGATTCCAGAAATAGTTGAGGGACTTTTCCTTCCATTTGTAGCCTTGCACCTGCTCCATAACACACAGCTACACTTCACAGATGCTTAAAATATTGTCATTATCCCTGGAGCTAGAAGAAATTAGGTAGGTGTAAAATAATCAGAATGTCAAGCACATTAAATGTCAAGCATAAATAAGAACCAAAATTGGAACCTTTCAAAGATGCTGGTACTCCCACAGTTGGGCAAAAAGTGTTAACTTCAATAACTGCCACCATTTGGGACTTGTATTATTATACAAACCACAAAATTCTCTGCCTTAATGGCATCAGCCTGAAAGATGATTTGGCATTAGAAAGTAGAAGTAAATGTTATCCAAAACATCAAGAAAACTTCCTGCCCCAAAATAGATTTTTTTTGAGACTCTTCAATTCAAACACTCCAGGGTATTGAAATTAAAAAGAGAAATAAAAAATCCAAAAGGCTTTGCAGGAAAAGGGAAGGATGAGTAATACACGAGCCTGTGTTATGTGAGATGGCACCAAAAATATAAACTGCAAAATAAACTGCCGAGTTATGTTCCCTCAACCAATAAAACAAAATAACTTCTTCAATCAACTTTTAGTTCCATAATCCAATCATCATGCAAATTAAAATCAAGCAGTCTTTCCCTAGTGAGTATATACTAACTAAATATTTTAATGTGAAGATACCTAAAAACTAAATTAGATTGGAAATTCTTTCAAGAGAGATTTGCTTTCATCTAAGTCCACAGAATCCCAGCATAAAGTCCAGAAATCTAAACTGTAGTTAACTAAAATTTAGGCTTGAAAAAAAAAATATTAAAACCCACAAAGCACATTATGCCATGCTTAGAGAGTAGCACCTCTTGTTAAATGTCCAATGAAATCCACACAAGTGTTTTGGGGTTTTTCTGTCTGGAATCAACATTTCCTTTCCCTTCCACATTTCCTATTTAACTTTCTATATAAACCACACAACCAAAGCAGCTTTACGGGAGATTCAGAGCTTGGGAATGGCTTTGCTTTGAGGGCTTCAGATGGGAAATTCCCTGGAAAAGACTGGATGTGGCACTTGGTGCCATGATCTAGTTGAGGTGTTAGAACATGGGTTGGACTCGATGATCGTAAAGGTCTCTTCCAACCTAAAAATTCTGTGATTCTGTGAAAAGTCTGGGGCCATGGGGAAGGCCATGGGGAAGGCCATGGGGAAGGCCATGGGGAAGGCCATGGGGAAGGCCATGACCCCATCACAGAGATGTTCCCATGGCCAGAACACAAAATCCTGAGTATTTGGATGTTCACGTGGGAGAGATTCACACTCTTGGACAGAGGCAGGATGGAAACTTGTCTCATCCTTTCAGCCTTGGGGCAAGAGATCTTCTCTTTCTGGGGAGAGCAGGAGCAGAAGGCATGGACTGACAGGAGGATCCAGAGGAGCAGGGCTGAGGTCAGCAGAACATTTGGCCTCATCCAGAGGAGGCCAAGGATAGGGGAGCAAGGACATGGAGCTGATTTGCAGCTAGAGAGCATCAAGGTTGGAACCCCTCCACAGAACCTGTGGAGGGAAAATATCCCAGAACCCCAAACTTCCTGTAAAGCTCCAGAACACCCTACACACATCATACCTCACCATCATGGGCTGTGCTGTGCTTCACATTTCTGGAGCCTGAGAGAAAACACTGGAACTCACAAACTTCTCCAATATTACAATGAATTGATAGAATTAGGGCAAGGCAGATTTACTCCCCTGCTTAAAGGAATCAAGGCTCCCTGCACTGTTTGGGACTTGCTAACGTGCACTGCTAGGATTACCATGCCAGCTTAAACCTCTGTTTCAAATCCCAAACTAACAAGAAAATACAAAGTATAAAGGTATTATTAACTGGAGTTTAAATTACATTAAAGGCTTTGCTGGCTTTCTTCATTGCCTTATTAAATAGTAAGAAAATAGAAAAAACAATCCAAAATTTTATAAGTAAAATGAGGCAGTGCCATATAGGTGAGCATTCTTCCTTAAGGT